AAGGCTGTATATTGTCCCCCTGCTTATTTAACTTATATGCAGAATACATCATGCGAAAGGCAGGACTGGAGGAATCCCAAACCGGAATTAAGATTGCCGGAAGAAATATCAACAACTTCAGATATGCAGATGATACCACTCTGATGACAGAAAGTGAGGAGGAATTAAGGAACCTTGTAATGAGGGTGAAAGAGGAGAGTGCAAAAAATGGTCTGAAGCTCAACATCAAAAAAACTAAGATCATGGCCACTGGTCCCTTCACCGCCTGGGAAATAGAAGGGGAAGATATGGAGGCAGTGACAGATATTACTTTCTTGGGCTCCATGATCACTGCAGATGGTGACAGCAGTCACAAAATTAAAAGACGCCTCTTTCTTGGAAGGAAAGCAATGACAAACCTAGACAGCATCTTAAAAATCAGAGACATCACCTTGCCAACAAAAGTCCGAATAGTCAAAGCTATGGTTTTTCCAGTAGTGATGTGGAAATTAAAAGACGCCTCTTTCTTGGAAGGAAAGCAATGACAAACCTAGACAGCATCTTAAAAATCAGAGACATCACCTTGCCAACAAAAGTCCGAATAGTCAAAGCTATGGTGTTTCCTGTAGTGATGTACGGAAGTGAGAGCTGGACCATAAGGAAGGCTGACCGCTGAAGAATTGATGCTTTTGAATTGTGGTGCTGGAGGAGACTCTTGAGAGTCCCCTGGACTGCAAGGAGAACAAATCTATTCATTCTGAAGGAAATCAACCCTGAGTGCTCACTGGAAGGAGAGATCCTGAAGCTGAGGCTCCAATACTTTGGCCATCTCATGAGAAGAGAAGACTCCCTGGAAACGACCCTGATGTTGGGAAAGAGTGAAGGCTAGAGGAAAAGGGGACGACGGAGGATGAGATGGCTGGACAGGGTCATCGAAGCGACCAACATGAATTTCACCCAACTCCGGGAGGCGGTGGAAGACAGGAGGGCCTGGCGTGCTCTGGTCCATGGGGTCACAAAGAGTCGGACACGGCTTAACGACTGAACAACAACAACAAAACATGTAAACTAGCCTTGCTTTGCAAAGGCTACAGGAAGATCTTGGAAATCATACAGGGATTTGCTCTGGCTCAGCAAACACATGAGGCTGGTCGCTTGTGGTGGAGCTGAGAAAAAGGTGGAGATGGAAAAGGGCATCATCCTTAAGTTTTCCTTCTATTCTGCTACTTCTCTCTTCCAGCTGCCACAAGAACAAATCACGCTCTTACAGCAGGAGGTAAAAAAAGCCACTGCTTGAATATATTTTAATCACAGTTTCCCTGACTTTCCAGAAAGGGGACAGCCTTTCTCAGTTAATGACAGCAGGGGTGGACCGCTCTAAAACACTTGGAGCTATTCTGTTTTGTGAATTTCTGCACTTCTACTGTGCGACTAGAGAAATTTAACCAAAAATCCAAAACAGAGCAACAGAAATTCCAAAGCGAAACCTTCTTTGAAATGCCAGGCTCATTCGTTTGCTCAGCTTAGGGAAGGAAGGTGGTCGAAAGTTTCTTTCCTTCCATATTTCAATGATGATGGAGGGAAACAAGAACAACAACACCAAACTCTCAGCCATCGCTTTCTTTGTTCTGCTCCAGAAAACACCCCCGAACCCGTGTTTTTAAGACATTTCCAAGCCAAAATGAAGAGTCCTCTCTGGTTAGTTTGCCGTTCGAATGCCCAGAACATGGTGACGTGGTAGTGGAGCTGGCAGTTGCCATGCCTAGCCGTGCTTCGCTCCCCTAAATGTCATGGGAAAATCATCCTCCACCCCTGCCCTCACCCAGGAAACACTGCTGACACCCCTCCCTCTCCCACCTAGGTTCTCCCTAACATCCTTTGCTGGCTCTCCATATTCAACCCAAACTGTGGCGCTTAGTCTCCCGTATCCTGTGGGGTGTCTAAAGGAAGAGAAATTGAAAAGTGCATATTTCTTTACCCTTACGCCGGGACGGCCAGACAATTCCATCTTGGCCACGCTGCCCCTGATGGGAAAGGCAAAGGTGAAGAATGACATAACATGTCTTTGTTTGTTTGCTTATTTATTTGGTCAGTCTCTGGAATCAAGGTCAGGGTAAGGTAAAAAAAGGTAAAGGTTCCCCTTGACAATTTTTGTCCAGTCGTGTTCGCCTCTAGGGGGCGGTGCTCATCCCCGTTTCCAAGCCATAGAGCCAGCGTTTTGTCCGAAGACAATCTTCCGTGGACACATGGCCAGTGTGACTTAGACACGGAACGCTGTTACCTTCCCACCAAAGTGCTCCCTATTGATCTACTCGCATTTGCATGCTTTCGAACCGCTAGGTTGGCGGGAGCTGGGACAAGCGATGTGCGCTCACTCTGTCGCGTGGATTCGATCTTACGTCTGCTTGGTCTTCTGACCCTGCAGCACAGAGGCTTCTGCGGTTTAGCCCACAGCGCCACCACATCCCCTCCAAGGTCAGGGCTTCACTTTTATGACACCTGCATTTTCTATAATTTTCAGAAAAAATGATTGGAATGACGGAAAGGAAACTGAGGACACCGCGGATTTATTAATGACCAGCCCAACCCAACCCATACATTTTAAAATATTAAAACAATATATTGGTAAGTGAATACCTTTTCTCCATTACACCCTTCTCTGACCATCTGGTCCCGGCTTGCCTCGAGGTCCCTGAAACACACCGACCGAGAACCTGGAACTGGGCTTCTGAAGTCATGAGGACTAGAAGCTTACTTTGTTTCACAAGATGAAAGCTGGGAATCCTATGCTGCTGTGTTGAATATCTCAAATATCAGAAGGGGGCTGAATGGCATTACAGAAAAGCATATTCTGCCCCCTCAGTGATGGTGTTTACTGTTTCAGAATAAATATTCTAAGGTTATGGGCAGTGTGTTTAATGGGCATTTAGGCAGACAGGAGGGAGGGGAAGAGATATAAAAAGAATTCCCTGTTTAATGGGCATTTAGGCAGACAGAAGTGAGGGAGGGGAAGAGATATAAAAAGAATTCAATGTGCTAATTAACAATAAAGAGTCCAACGTTTGGTATCTCACCTTCTGGCCCAGTTCCCTCATCAGTCCTGGATTCCCCTTCTTGCCTGGCAGCCCCTAAAAGAAATACTGTATTAAAAAGTCAGGTTTTGCCCTTAAAAAAAGCATGTTCTTCCTATGCTGGTGGCTCTGCTGTTCTAGTTAGTTCACCCGCTGAACGGATTCAAACGTATTTTGAACAACCAAAACTTTATTCCGGGTTCCTGGCCAATCCTGGCTCCCTATGAATGAACTCTGCACTGGTCAAACCGAACTCTTTGCTCCTCACCTTATGCAAGCTGGCAAATGGAGCAGCTTGCATAAGTTTGGACTCTTTGTGCAGAGTCCAAACTTAGAAAAACTGGAAGAGGCATCATGACAAGCCATGGTTTATTGTTAGCTGAGGAATGTCGGCTTGTTTGGAATGACCCAGGATTCTGGGTTGTTTATATCTCTCTGGCCATTCCCCAATAAGCTCAAGATGGCTTTTCATGTCCCAGTCTGACTTTCTTACCTATTGTCTCCAAGTAGCATTGGTTGGAGAATGAAGATCTCACTGCACAATTTATATAGCAATGAGGTTATGCAAAGTTTTATGCAGCACATGCGTGGCAAATTGGAATTAACCAGAACTCTAGTCTTGCTCTTCCTGTGCAAATCTCAACACTACGTTTATGGACTCCGGCTTCAAACAGCCTTGGGGAAGCTCCTGGCGGCCTTTTCCTTAAATGGCTTGTCGTGTTCCTGGCAAACCGATCCCAAATGGGGAGCAATTTTGCTGGACAAACTTGTCAAAGCAGGGGCACCACCTCTCTCCCCCCAGCACCCTTTCCTGCCCCAGCACCCTTTCCTTTCCTAGCCCTGCCTGGAGAGCACTGGCTCCCTCCGCAGGTTTCCTGTCCGAGCCCTAACTGGACCCAAACTCACAGGTCAGATCCCTCCCTCAAGCCTGCCGTTGCTCCTCCGTTGTAAGCAAATAACCGTTAGCACAAAAAAGTCACTCACTTCCATGTCAGGAAGACCCGGTGCTCCAGTTTTGCCAGGTGGCCCCAAATCACCCTGAAATCGGTGCAAAAAGAAAACAAGATTACTAAGCAGAAGCAGAGAGGTAACCTAAGATCTCACCCTACAGGGTGTCTGGCCCTTTCTGTGTTTCCAGGGAACCCCTGGCTTTTTCTATGGCCTGTGCAGACCTTGGGTGCCAGCTGACTTTTCACTTTGGGCAGCAACAGGTGTCGGGAAATCGCTGTGTAGGTCCCTCGGTTTATAGAAATGCAACGGTGATGTTACCGTTGATGCACCCAGGCAGGTTGCTCCCAGCGCATGGAGGCTCCGAGAGGCTTTTCCAAGTGTGTGAGGGGCTGGCTGGAGGGACGAGGTGGCAACTGGCCTGGATGCATCCCATACAAACTCTTAACACACAAGGTGGATTGTTGGACTTTGCTTAAGAGCGAACCCTGCCGCCTCTGCATTCCGCAGGGCCTCCTCCTCCTCCTCTCCTTAAGGGTGTTAATCCAAAATGAGACAGAACTGGTCCTGGGGTTGTTTACCCTTAGCCCCATTCCCTCCAGACCAGTGGCTCCCCACCTGGGGTCCCCAGATGTTCTGGGACTCAAATGCCCAGAAACCTTCACCACTGGCTGGGTGACGTCCTCCACAAAGATCTGGGGACAGCTGGTCTAGAGGGCTGTTCCCTCCTTCCCAACAGCTGGGGAGGGATCCTGTGCCCTCCGGAGACCTTTCTTTCCAGTGGCCAGCCGTTCCCCAGGGGCCTGCCTCCAGATGGGTTGGGCTCTTGGGATCCTAACCAGAGGGCTTTCTGACACGTTAAAAAACACAAAGAGGCTCCATTGGCCTGCGGTCACTTCTCCAGAGGTCAGTCCATCTTCCAACCGTCTGCCGAAAAAGGGGCGGCCTTGAGCAAGCCTCGTCCGCTGTTCTCACCCCACCCACCCCCAGGAGTCGGACGTTACCTGCAGGCCCTCTTGCCCCTTCTCGCCTCTGTCTCCTTCGGGCCCTTCCGGACCCTCGGCTCCTTTGCGCCCTGGGCCATCCGGGGGTCCTCCTGGGCCAGCGCCACCGTGGGGAGGACACAGAGAGGAGAGCTCGCCATTCCTGACTGGCTTGCCCTCCCTGGAGGTTGTGAAACATCGCACGCTCGTAAACACAGAAAGAGCGGCGAGGGAGAATGGCTTCGTCGCCACCACTGCTTTGTTCCCACCATCAGCAGGACGGGAAGGGTCGGTTTTTCTCTCCTCCTTCGCTGCTTCTTTCACCCTTGAACTACCAGGGATAACTTTTCACGATCATGTGTAGTTCTCTGAACAAAATAACAAACGAATGAACCAACCCATCCTCCCACCCACCTACCTCTCTTTTTCTCTCCCTCTCTTTTCCTTCCTTTGAATCTGGCTATATTACAGAATCCCCTTCACGGATTGCTGCCTTGTTGTGGCGAAGGGGCTTGAGCAACTCAGGGAAGCTATGGGCTATGCCGTGCAGGGACACCCAAGACGGAGGAGGAGAGCCTGCCCTGGGGGGCCTCGGGCAAAAGCTGCCCAGCGAGGATCCCAGGGCTACCCCCAGAAGAAGGGAAATGGGGAAACTGCTTCTGAGCGGCACTCTCTACCTGGAAAAGGTGGCCGTCAGTCAGCTTTTTTGGGGTGGGGAATCTGCCTTAGTCCCAGACCACGAACCACTATGCTGCAGATATCAGATGCACTGCATACTCCAAATACAGAGCCAGGATGATTACTGCCCCCCAGAAACAACAGGTCTAACAAACACAACACAGTAAACTTTACACCTGTGTGGAGATTTGAACTCGCATCTCTGTGGCTCTAACCCAGCAAAATAGATACCCGATGCACATATTGAGCAGGAAGCCAGGATTATTATGGTCTGCAGAGACTACGGATCTCTATAATGGGTCCAAGGTCCCTGTGTGTGGCCCTGCTGGCTAGCATCAACAGAGAAAAGTCATGCATAGCTCAGAGGTTTGGGCCTCTGGTTGCAGAGCCAAAGGTTGGGAGTTCGAATCCCCCACTGGGCCTCCTGGACAGGGGCTGGACTGGATGATCCCTAGGGGTCCCTTCCAGCTCTGTCATTTTGTGGTGGTGGCAGCAGCAGCCATAAAGCAGACGCAAAAGTTCCCAGCCAGATTAACACCATGCTGCAAAAATCTATTTATGCAGGTTTGCTCCCACAGTGTTCCACGCAGCTTACGCTCTAGCCAGCATGTTCAGGATTGCAACCGTAAAAGAGGAGAAAGAGCTGCTCCAAAGTACTTACAGAAGGACCGAGCTTGCCTTGGTCTCCCTTCAGCCCATCCTTTCCTGGGAAGCCCTGGAATAAATCAGGTGAGTAAGAGGAACGCCCTTCGAAAGGATGCTTTCAGAGGCAATGAAAAGGGGAAGCAGAATCCCCAGCGGGAAGGGGACCGAGGAGGGAAGGAACCAGATTTGAGGAGCCAAGCTCCTTGGCTCTTACCATCGTCCTGACAGCGCCTCTTGGCCCACCACGTCCTGGATTCCCCCGGGAAGGAGCAAGTGGGAAACGGGTGACCAGGATGGACAGACAGATGGAGGGAAGCGGGGAGACCGGAGGGAGGGAAGGAGGTGGTGGGAGAGCAAGAACCACTTCTCTATGGGGCGGCCTCCCTGAGAAGCCTCCTTCTCGAGAGTGACATGTCTTTAGCCTCATTGGTCCAGACCCATGGAAAACCATCTCCTTTTGGAAAAGGCACAGTTCCAGTGGCTCCGTGCCTCTTTTTCTCAACCTGGGCCTCCCGGAAAGGGGCCTGGACCCCATGATCCAGAGGGCCCCTTCCAACCCTGCCAGTCTAAGAGGATGATGCTACCTGACGAGGGCTGCCCCGATGGTCAGCGTGCATTCACACCACAGGGCAACCTCAAACCCTCCTCTTCAAAACAGCTCCATCACTCTCTTCTCCTGTTCCGCTTGCTCTGCAAACCCAGCGGCAGGGAAGAGGCGAAAAAAGAGGCCTCACTGTTCCCCAAATTTAACCAGCCATGGTATCTTCTCTCCTTCGGGGCCCTCCGATCCAGGGAACCCCTGAGCCCCCGTTTCACCCTGGAACACAGAAAGGAAGAAAAAGACGGGGGGTGGGTGGGTCTCCTTGCTTCCCACTTTTCAATCGTAGGGGCCCAAACAGCAGCCTTTGCAGTGGTGGACACGTAGGCAGAGCTTGAGAAAAATGCCTTTGGGCAGACTACAATGTCCAGCATACCTTAGGCAACTGGCCCAGAGGCCAAGGGATTCTGGGAGTTGTAGTCCAAGACTCACATCCCTAAAAGGTGTGTGGGAGTGACAAAGGTGAAGGTGAGGTGACACGATGGAAGGTTTGCCTCGCTCTTCATCTCTGCCCCCCTTTATCCTCTTCTCTTTTTCCTTTCTCTCTCACTCCCCCACTTCTTACCTCCCTCTTTTTCTCTCCTCCTCCTCTTTACTGTCGGAGGTTCTGCAATCTTGCATGCTTCCTTTAGTAGGTTTGTCTGGGAAGGACCTTTTTGGGATGGGGTTCCATCTGTCGATCTATCCAACACTAACCAATCATCTTTCCCCCACCTCTCAATCCAAAGAGAACCCCGGCTCTCTGCCCAGTGCTTTTCCCCCCCTCTCTAGAGTACGATGAAGTCTTTTGCTGAAAGCAATCATGCCTGTCAGTTTGCTGGTTGATCAGTTCAACTGTAAGAAAACCTTTTTAAAAAAATTCTTTCTACTACTAATGGCAGAATGTGTTACTAAGACTGTAAGTGCCAGTGAAGAAGAAAGGGGTGGGGGTTGAACTAATTTGTAGAACTTGAAGCTATTCTGCTCTGTGAATCCCTTCACTTCTGTCGCGCAGCTAGAGGAATTTAACCAGAAATTCAAAACTCTGCAGCATTTACCCCTTTCTACTCTTTCACCCCCTCTCCCCTCTCTCCGGAACCCCCTTTACCTTTGTTTGTTCTGCCACCCTCTTTATCCCCATCGCAATCTCCACTTCTCGTTCCCCGCCACCCCTTTGCTTTTATTGCTCTTTGCTATCACTGACCACCCCTTTACAACCTTTACCCCCCACACCCTTATCCCACCCCTCCACCTCTCTCTGCCCCCCATCTCTCTCTCTCTCTCTCCTGGAGAGTCAAAAAACCTGAGCTACCTGCCGTCCTCGGGCTCCTTCACGTCCTGTCCTTCCAGTCATGCCCGCTTGGCCCTTGAGGGGAAAAACCGGGGAGAAGAGAGGTCGCCTTTAGCAGAGCCCCCCCTCCCGCTAAGGTGCCCCCCCACCAGAAAGAATCCAGATTAGCCGCTGACAGGGAGTGGGTGGGTGAGGAAACCTGGCATCCCTTCCAAAACCCGACAGCACCCTCTGGCGGGAGGAAAATCATCAGAAGTCTTTTTTTAAAATGGTAGAAACTGGTGGTGAGTGGCGGAGAGAAGTGTGTCTGTGGGTGTCGTCTATTATTCCATTAATAATTGCTTTCTAAACCATGGAGCTGCGTAAGGTTGAGGATGATGGGCTGTGTAGTCCATCATCCTGTTGGGAAATGGCTGCCCTAGAAAGTGCTGCACCCAACATTCTTGTGAGTTCATCTCCCTCCTAGTCAGGGAGCACGTGATCTTCTTTCGCTGCCCAACCGATTGGAGACACAGAGCTCTGTGTGACCTAGAAGCTTGCTCCCTTCACCTTTGAAGTGCTGCGAAGGATCCTACGAGATCCATTTCGCCAAAGGAGTCCACGGTGTGGACATGTCACAGTCTCTTTTGCTTTCCTGGCAACCCTGCGAGGGAGGTCGGTCGGGTCAGTGAGCCACAAGCCAAGGGCGGTGTGGGAACTGGTGGCTCTGAGGCCGGTGCGTGCGCGTGTGCGTATCCGCTCCTGCTTTTGCTCTGAATTTCTAAAGTCGCTACACCAAGCACTGAACCCATGCTGGGCGACAGAGTGTGGCCCCATCAAAAGAGCTGGTAAAGTTCTCCCTAAAACCTGGAACGGATCCATTGCCTCCCCGAACCGCCTGTTTGTTCTACATTTCTAG